CGTACGTTCAGTTGGTCGTTGGGAGCCGCTGGAGCGAGCCGCTGGAGCGTCCAGTGACGCGGTTGCCGCGGTTTACGAAATAAGATGAGGGCCGATTGGGGCGCTGGATGGTGGTCTGATGAGGTCGTTACCTCTTTGCTGTGGACGTCTGGATGTCTTGGTTATCGGGATGGACACGCGTGGATGGCGCGTCTGGATGTTTTGTGTCTGAGGATCGCTTGTGTTTTCGTTGTTTTGAGATGGACCGAGGTGGCATCGCGGCCTAGTGGCTGTGGCGTGCTTCGGGCAGGAGAGATGTCATGAGGGTGGCTGGCGTGGTGTTGACACCTTCTGTGAGGTCCTGTCGCTTCCGGGCCTCATCGCCTCATCGCCATCAGGCCCTGGGCTGCTGGCCTCCTGTTCCGAGTTCAGTGACTCGGGCGGCTTCTGTTTTCCATCCGCTATGATCTTCTACTTCCAAATTGGCATTCACCCCCGAGTCTGGACAGGGCTGTTTGGTTTGTCACGATGGCAGCAGGAGATAGTCGCTCAACGCCAAGTGAGGGCACATGATGGTCAGCTTGTTTCACGTTTCTTGCGGACGTTTGAGGCTCCCTCACGCATCTTCAAGACATCAGACGAAGTCGTCAGAATGTCCTCGTTATGGCTTTGCTCTCCCCTCTGACATCAGTCATCCACCTGACACCAGGCAAGTTGCCACTGCTCATGCGTCCCCGCCGAAGGACCGATTGAAGCTGTTGGTGATGCAATCTTCGGAGGTGATGCCAACTTTGGATGGGATTTGTCATTGATTGAGGCCTCACGGGCGCTATACGGAGATCTGCTACTCTCGACCTTGGGACTTGTCTGTTGGCGGAGATCATTGGGCCAACCTTGGTTGATGTCTTCAGTTCCGTCTCCCCGGAGCATTCCCCGACGTGGCCGGGGAGACCATTCTCTAGATGATCCGTCTTCTCCTCTGGGTGAACCATCTTCCCCTCCGGATTGATCCAGAAGAGGGGGAATCCAGGTTGACAACTCAGATCAAAGAACATTCTCGCACGCTTCTAGGTAGGAGTCACCGCCGCCTTCATCTCATCTTGCTTTTCCTCGGGACTGTTACCATCTACGGCTTTGCTTGCAGTGACGAGAACATTCGCGACGAATCTTCTACGCCCGGCGAAAAGTTGCGCAGAGTTTACATCACATCCTCACCTCGCCAGTCGAAACGAAACACTGCTGTGGCATGGTTGGCCATCACCACCACATCAGACCACGCCCGTCTCAGACTCGACTCTGTCGCCACACCCCCCTTTCCTCTTCTCAAAACTCTCACGCCCCGTTCCCCAGAGGGCTGTGCTGTCACAGATGGTGATCTATGATGCCCCGCCGACCGGGATACGTTTTCGTCCATCGAGTTTAGCATGGTTAAGTACTCACATGAGCAATCACCACTGTGCAGTTCAGGTCCCCTGTACGGAGTTTCCTGCAGCAGGCACGCGGACAAGTGCACGCGGACAGCCGCAGTAGGGTTGTAACTGCATCTTGTCCGAGTCTGCTCGCGAGCTAGCACGAACTACAAAGTACGAACTGCGAGCTAAGCCCCAAAGACGCGAAGCGTTCATGCGGATCGTGCAGTGTTGCAGTGCTGCTACTGATTGCCCCTATTCCTCTTGGAGATATCACGTTGGATCGGATTGGATCGGATTGGGATCGCATAGCTCCCTCACTTCTTTTTGACAGGCAGGATGCGTACCTACGCAGTGGGATCACGTCATGTCCATAACCCAGGACACACCTAGCTGGACGTCCTCGACCCGGCACTCTCAAAATCTGGTACAAAAGTTACTATTTGGGTCCCTTCCCGTCTCCGGTTCGGAGTCCTTTTGCTTTTCCTGGGAGTTTCTTTTCTCTGTTCTATTCTCTTCTCATCTGGACCTGGTGTAGATCATACATGATGTGCCGATCCGAGGGAGGGTGATGTGCGGTTTGTTGCAAGTTGGGGAGGTGAACCGTGGGTGGTAGTGGGGTTTGGGGAGGGAGTACCGGGGAAGTTGGGAGAATGGATGGGGAAGAAAGGTTGTGACGGAGTGGTGGTGGTGTGTTTGTTGGAGGAATGGGAAGGGGGAGGGAAAGGAAAGGAAAGGGGGTATGCAATTGGCGGGGGTTTCACATCGTAAGGGTAGATTTTATTCCCACACCCTTTTTCTAACCATGATGATAGTGTCGCTGATATCTACTTACTACTTGTGCTAGGTGCTAGGACGATGTTTCTCAGTGAGCAGCTCCCAAATACTACCGTGACGGTGACAGAGGGGATCCTCCATCTGTCGGTGTCGATGGACTGTGCAAGTGGGATTCCCAACGTGGGAATGGGCAGATGATAGTCTGCCCAATATTGGGCGTGTGTTTTGACCCTTTGGGGGAGAAACTCAGGAGGGGGGTGCAAGCTGGTGATCTGAGCGGTTTGCACTGCCAGCGGTGCCAGCAAACTGAAGAAAGGGTGTCGAGGCCGGAGCATTGTCGGCGGACCGGCGCATCATGACTGTGCTTTTCGGTTTGGGATCTTCAGGCGAGCTGAAATGTGTTTTTCGTGACATTCGTTTTTGCGCTCATCTTCTCGTCCGGGTCGGAGGTGATGGAAGCAGAGGTCAAACGCCACGCGGGTGACAGCATCATCGACGGTGCGACTTGGGCTTCGACCCACGTTTACGAAAAGCGACATGATCTGGTGACTCCATCCGCGAACCTGGCTTTTTCCGATCGTGGCGTCTCTTTTTCGCGTTTTCCTTTCCTTTTTGGACAGTTTTTGTTTGTTCTTTTAGATCATGGTATGACACTTCCCACGCGTTTCAGGGACGGCTGTTCGAGACCTCTGGTGGCGTAAAGGGGCTGCGCTGCTCTGGGCTGCTCGCCCCTCCTCAGCGTTGCACCAGCAGCATGTCCACTGCGCTCTTCGCCATCAACAAGACCGAACCCCGCCGCGTGCAGCGCCCGTGCGTAGTGAGTGACCCTTTTCGCTTTTTGCCCTTCTTCCTTCAAACCAGGTCGTGGTTCCCGTGACGTGAGGGCGATACGAGCGGGTTGCGTATATGTCGTTCAGTTAATCGCTGGGTTTTCGCACACCGAGTTCAATGCGGGGAAGTGCTCCCCCAGACCCCGGACATTTTGATCGTCCTTTCTGATAAGTGGGAAGGAGGGGTTGGGATTGGTGTGGTGGCGGGGTGTGTGTGAGGAAAGGGGAAAAGGAAAAAAAAATGTCAATGCGACACACCCCCGAACTCGGGACCTTGACCATATCAAATGAAAAAAGACACCAAGATCAAAAGGAATAACCGAGTTCGGGAGTAGTCTGGGCTAATCGCTTTCCGAGATATCGGGTCGGCAATGGTTGCGAGTCGAGGTTAGCGTATTGGGGAAATACTGGCGTCTTGCAGAGGCAGCACACCACGCCTTGGGGGCGTGGCGGATCAAGATGGCTGGAAGCAACGAGGTCTGTGCCCACTGATACCCGTCGGACGAGGGTGTGAGGGGTTCGCACCCGAGGCACCGAAGCCGCGCGCACACCTCACCCTAGCCTTTTCTTCTTCCAATTGGAGTTGTTCGTCTCACACGTCCTGAAGAACAGGGGGTTGAAGCTCAGTGGGGTATCCATTCGCCTTGCTTGGCGATTGAGGGCAGTGGTGGTCATGTGAGGTTGCGATGCCAGTTCAAGACTTGGAATAGGGGCAAATGGGTGTCATCGTTTCTGTGCTAGACTTGTGGGAAATTGATTCGCTGCCCGTTGGGACGCGACTGCGAGTTGGTGGACAACACCGAGTGACTTCGTCAAATTCAGAGGTAAATGTCGCTGGGTGCTGGCCACGCCTTTTGTTGGCAGTTGCAGTATCAGCGACCAACTCAGATACTTCAATGGAAAGTGAAATCGAAATCAAACCCCGTGATTTCAAATCATCTAATGTACCTGAGATTTATGTCTAACTTGGGATGTCTGAGGTGTTACAGGTGAGTGTTGGAAACCAACGGGGTTGCATCGCAGCTTGATTCGTTCTTATCTGCCGTGTTTGGTTTCGTAACTCATCGAATGTCACTCACTGCTACGAGAATCTATGCAGAAAACGGGCGTGGGTGACGGTAGATCTAGAAGTGACCCTGCTGCCTCTTTGCGGCTCAGGGGGCACAGCACCAACAAGATAGATGATGAGGCCGACATCTCTGCCATTCTCTCAGTGGCCACGAGCCCAAGTGGCAGTTAACTACATCCTTCAAGTAAAATAGACAACTTAAACTTTTAAAGGGCTCGAGAAGTCGATGTTTGTCTGGGCAGAATTTCAGGGGGTGCGCTTAGTCTCCGGAACACTTTTGTCCTGACTCCATGCTGCCCGACAGGATATTTTATTAAGAGCCCGCAATGTAGGAGAGAGGAATTGTGATGCCAGAGCGCACAAAGCAACCTGCAAGGTTGTGTCGAAGAGTCGGAGACTAATCATGAAAAAGTCGCAAAGTGGTGGCTCAGACGTATAAAGTCGTCCCTACCCTCAAAGAGACCTCTGTGCTACAACGGCAGCTAGTACCCCATGCCCACCTAGTTTCTGCGAGCTAGAGAGCCTCAATCGTTCAGATGCTAGTATGTCTGAGCGGGTTGTTCAGTTCCCAGTGCCAGTCCACACAACTAAAAGCCCTTCGAAACTCTCCCGCAGTTATACACGTGCACAACAAGGGATAGATGTGTTCCCAGCGAGGCCTTGAACGCATGATTCAGCCTCGATACAACAAAACGAGGTTATCATATTGACCCTATATCTCTCCTTGCTTTGTTTCTCCTTCCAGACGTCTTTGCTGGTGGTCGGGAGGCTTGTTCCGAATGAGACCCGGGCCACTACCCGTGCAACAACACGGTGCCGCAAAGCATTTCAGGGAACTCAAGCAGCCAAACACCCCCCCCCCCCCCCCTTCTTCCTCTCCCACGATAGGGGGAAATCACCCAAACAGACAAAAACTCAAAAAGAAAGTTTGGACGTTGGACGAGCTGGGAATCGAACCCAGGGCCTTTCGCATATAAGAACAACAAGGATGCGAAGCGAACGCTCTACCCCTGAGCTACACGCCCTTTATTGGATAACTTGCAGGCTGCTTCCGCACGCTTACCAATCCTGCACACTTCCTCCACAACTACAACCTCCGCATCGCCGCCTCGACGGACATCACCGACAATGGCGCGCTCCGACGAAGCAGAGGCTTTCTTTACGGCGGTTTATCGGGCTGTGCAGGAGATTCCTAGGGGTAAGGTTACGAGCTATGGGCATATTGCAAAGTTGGTTGGGACTCGTGAGTGTTTGCGTTTGTTCTCGTCATTGCGGCTGCGTTGGGTCGCGTCGTCATCTCATGCAACGACGCAAATCCTCCCCGGCGCAGCCCTACCGTTTTCTCAGTGTCTCAGCATCTCGGTGTTTTTTTCTTCCATCTCGGTCCCGCCTGACTGACCAAATCCCCTCTCATCCGTCCCATCATCACCGCTCCTCACCCCATCCCATCCTACGCTTCCTGCCATGTCTCGTGATGCCATCATCCCCCTCATCTTACCTCCCACCTCAACCCCTTCGCTATACTAACAGCAGACTTCCAGCACAACGCCCCCGCCAAGTAGGCCTCTGCCTCAAACACCTCTCCTCGGAACCCTCCTCACGCTTCCACCACGACAACGTCCCCTGGCAGCGCGTGATCAACGCAAAGGGTGTAATCTCACCAAGGTATGTCGCTTTTACCTTTCCCCTCAACCATCTCTGCTAGACACGAAGCTGACGATAGCCCGGTAGATCCCAGCCATCGGGGTCGCTCAACCAAGCTGCTTCCTTGGAGGCGGAGGGTGTGACGGTCACGACGGGGGCGCTGGGGGAGTTGATGGTGGATTTTGCTGAGTTTGGGTGGTTCCCCAGGGTATTGCCGTCGGAGGCTGAGGAAGGGGATTCCGACGGGGAAGATGAAGAGGCTTCGGAGGGTGACAGCGAGAACGGACAGTGATGGATAATCCACATTACAGGTCTGGAGGTTGATCAATGCATCTTGTAGTTCTGTCTAGAGACGTTGCTCTTACAATGCTACTACTTATCCCAACAATGACGCTAGTTCTACATCTAGAGTCCTGAGTCTATCAGCCCGACTCGACAAAAGCAATAAAACACCGCCCAAAGTGTCCTGTTTCCACCGTGATGCATTCCCGTTTCCTTGTCCGGCCAATAGGCAATCCCATAGTTAACCCCGAGTTGTTCGTCGGCGTTTGGCAACGTTTCCGACAGACGTCTCCGCCTCTGTGATTGTATGCTCGTCCGCGTCGTTGCCGCCATTATTAACATTATTACCGCCATCATCTCTGGCCTGCGATGCCTCTCGCTGCGCGACACTCGCTTGCCTCGTGCTGGTCCCAGTCATGGCCCCTGCCCTTCCACCACCCGTGCGGCGCACCTCGGCAGACCGCAGTTCGCTAAGCAGCTTCTCGACCTCGTAATGCATCGCCCGAGTGTCGTTCACAACGCCAAACTCGTCCACCTTATACCCGAGAGGGTCGTGACCGTGCGCGCCACCCCCGTCCTGCTCGTCGCCTTGAGCCTCCTCGCCTCTGACGAAAAACGAGGGCCCGGGTCCATGGCCATGATCGGGATTGTACATGATGGCGTTGGCGAACATGTGGGCAAACTCTCGCTCCAGCTGCCCGCTGTTGATGATTCCCTTTGGCGGCAGCAAGCCCTCGTTCACAGGGAGCCACACACTGCTAGTGTTTGGATCACCCCCGGGCAGGGCCGCGGCCGCTTGAGTTGCCACCCTGTTCCCGGCGTTGATCGCTGCCTTGATGGACTTCAAATCCTGCGGCTGCAGGATGACCTTTGTATAGCCAGGAGCATCCTTCTCACGCACCGGTTGCGCAAATATGTTGGCAAACCGGTGGTGGATGATCTGCTCCATGGCAGAGCCCGAGACCTTGTTGAACTGCCTTGTCCAGAGTACCTCGGTCGGTGCCTCTGCGGCTTGCACCGCCGAGGTAGGCTCGAAGAAGGCCTGGTCTCTAGTTGGGGTTGGGGCCGCACTCGGAGAGAGCTCTTCCCGTTTCCGCTTGGCATGGCGAGGCGCTTGCCTACGACCGGCTACACTCTCATCTGCGGTTGTATCGCCCGTCTCAGTTAGCGGTCGTGGTGTCGTGACCTCATCCTTAATCTTGGTCGTTTCCACCTCGCTTGGTGGCTGAGGACCCTCCTCCGGCGTCAGTGTTGATGCAGCGGCTTCCTGTGGCTCAGATGCCGGTGTTTCAAGCGTTGAGGGTTTTGGAGCAGGCGTTGTCACAGCTGCTTTGGGAGGGGAGACAACGCCCGACGCCCGTGGAGGATTGCTTGGCCTACCCGCCTTCCTCTTAGGAGGCGTTCTGGCGGGCTGCTCCAGAGGTTGCCCTGGTAATGGCTTCTTATGCTCATCCTGTTGCGCCACAATCGGAGGAGCTGTCAATGGTGAGGCTGTTGGTGCGAGGGTTGCGAGTGGCAAAACCGGGCTCAGCTGCTCATATGCAGGGCTTTCCGGTACTTCTGTCGAGAATGTAGGCACAGGACCCTGGATCGGCGTGGACGGCGTGGACATCGAACCCCATTTTGTGCTGCTGCCAGTAACAAGCCTGTGGGTCAGAGCCGCGGCTGGTGTCTGTGGTGCAAAAGGCACTGGCGTAATCCTAGACGGCTGTGCGGGCGTTGGGGTGCCAGGCAACCTATGCGGCTGTACGTGAGGTGGAACCGCAGAACCGGGTGCTGGGTATGGAGAGTTGTACACCCTCTGGGTATCTGGCGGCGGGAAAACTGGAGAGGGAGACGCAGGTTGCGATCCTGGTTGAGGATAGGCCGAGGGAGCTTGGAGGGCCTGGCTCGGGGTTCGGGTAGGCGGGAGTGGAGCGACCCCAGGGTGGGGTCGATGCTGGGGGGGGACTGTCGGTGCTTTCGGCGTCGGCGCTGGAGGTGTGGGATGTCCCTGGGCAGGATGCGGGAAGCCTTGCTGGTAAGCAGGATGTGGCGGCCTGCTTGGCTGCACGTTAGGGGCCAACAACGGTTGCCTACTCGCTGGCGGACCACTGAGCTCCCCTGCCGACCTGCTGGGTGCTGGTCGCACTGGCGGAGGGTATTTCCCGGGAGGTTGCGGTGACGCCAACACTGGCTGTGGTGACGGCTTACCCGCTTGTGGCTGCAAGGGCCGCGCAGGCGGTTGAGGAGAGAGGTGCGGAGTAGGGCGTTGTTGCGGTAAAGGTTGCGGGGGTTGAATAGGCCCCTGTCCGATCTGCTGTTGATTTAGCGGCTGTCCTGGACGAGCTACCAGGCCGCCTGGCTGGTAGGGAGGCTCCCATTTGAGTTGGCCCTGAGTAACAGGTTGCAGTTGAGGGTTCGGCGGGATGGCTGGTGGATGTTGAACGGGGGGAGACGGGGCCAAGGGCTGAAAGGGAGGTGCTCCCTGTGGAAGCTGCAGAACTGGCGACACGCCAACGACAGGTCTGGGAGCAACTGAAACATCGTGAACCGTCGGTTGCGGTAGACTCGGCGCGGGCAGAGGGATTGGCGCTGTCTGAGGCTGACTCAAGGCCGGAGCAGAAGGTGCAAGTCCTATCCGAGCAGCTGGAGGCACAAGGCTCTGTGGTGGCTGCGGCGGCAGCGGAAGTGGAGCCGGACGCGCGGGCGGCGCATGCGTCGTGGATTCCGGCCTGGGTGACACTCCGGGAGACGGCCCAACGCCATTAGCAGTTGCCAAACTTTTCTTGGACGGAGTTTCTTTGTGCACAGGCGTCTTCGCCGCAGCGGCCAAAACCAAACGCTTTTTCTCCTCATTTTCATATTCATTCATGAGCCTCGCAATCTCGTCGTGCTGTTGTTCGAGTTCCTTGATTTTGGCTCGAGCTTCCATAACATAGGCGTCGTACGCTGTTCGATGGATACGATCGATCTTCCCGATGTGAAAAATCACGTCCTCGAGTGCCGGTCTCGGGGGTGGCTGAAGCTTGCGCTTCTTGGATGGCGAGGAATCGCCTCCATCTGGCCGTGACGCAACGCCGCTTTCGTCCTTCAACTGCTCCCATACTAAATCTAGGAACCGCTCCTGCAGAGCGTTGGGCACCAAGCGTTCGGCATCAAACCTCGGGTCCTTTTGAACGGGCAGATCCTCTAGAAGCTTCTCGGAGATTGTCCGAAAGTCCTGCTCTTGAAAGCCATATTTGATGATTCCGCGGACGAGCAGGAGAGTCTCGAAAGTCGTGTAGGGTGTTGTCGTCATGCCCCAAACTCCGCCTCGCCGGGGACCGCGGGGCCCGTCGTCGTGCCTCGGGAGAAGATGGATCGGCGCCACGGTCTAGAATGATCGCGTCAGCACCGCACGCAACGCGGTTCGTTGGGTTTCTCGGTCGGGGGCGCGCGTCGTAGACCTTCGTGCGCGCAAGTCACGCACCGGTAGCCTGGGGCGAGGCCTGTGATTTGGATAGTTGGGATGGCGAAATAAATCCTGGGAGGCACGCGGCGTGTTGCAACGTGTCGAAGATACCCGCCAATGCTGCTATGATGTCGCGGTAATTGATTTTTTTTTCTGGTCGCGATCACGTGAGTTGGCGGTTTGCGACGGTAATTTTGGTTGCAGGTCGATGAAAATGGGGGTTGGCCGTTTCGTTGGCGATGGATGTTGCAAGCGTTGGAGGCATTCAACCAAACGCAATTTCCTTATCACGTGATACATGACTGCCAGCGACGCACAGACTTTGACGGAAGCAGCTGCCAAGGCCAGGAAGTCGCCCCATCCTGCCAATTTCAGACTCGGAACGAGAATTCGATGGCAGCAAAACAAGCAACAGGCTGCCTGGCGAATGGAAGCAAATATTATACTGAGAGTCTTGAGCATGTCGTTCATGGTCTTTGCGGGTGGAGCCTTGCTCGGATCTTGAACTCAGGGTGATGGAGGCCAGGGAATCCCAAACTGGCGCTGTGGGATCGGGTTCCGAAATCTGGGGTGGACTGGGGAGCTGGATGACACAATGAGAGATAGCTGACCACAAAACATATTTCCGGTTGGGTCACAATGTCGCGATTCTCTGCAAGCAGCAAA